GACCCTTCCTCAGAACTGTTCTGAGGAAGGGTCACCAGACCCGAAACGTTAACTCTGTTTTCTCCTCCACAGATGCTGCCAGACCTGCTGAGCTTTTCCAGCAACTTTGTTTTCGTTCCTGATTTACAGCATCCGCAGTTCTTTTGGTTTTTATCCTGAATCTCAATTATGCTAAGGGAAGCACCAAACAGAAAATTGACTTTTCACAGGATCCACAAAAGTAAAAAAAAAAATGTTGGCTGAAACACAAAGCAGGAGAGGCAACTGCTTGACCCACAGATTAGTGGACTGCTGGGTAGACTCTGATGTACTTTTTGCTTCTTCTCACCAACACCCATAAACTGCAAAAATTCCTTTAAGTTACATTACATCAATCTGGAAGGTTAATTAATTTCTTTAGGGACCAACCCAAAAGTTAATTCCACTGCTGTCATTTTAATATTCAAGTGTTCTGACAACTCTCCAAGGTGACATTTAAAGGAATCTTTCTATCAGCTTAGTGATTGAGCGACCCTCCAAATTTTATTCAACATCTCAGGACTATGGATGTCTCAGCTCCTTGTTCTGGTTGCCCATAATACCCAGCTGCCAAGCCAACTCTGGTGATTGCTTTCTGTACAAAACTGAAGGGCCCCTTTGATATCTTTCACTAGACAGAAAATAAAAGTCTATCTCCATTAAATATGGCTAATGAAGTGGAGCTTGAAGTGCAAGCCAACTGACAGACATCTCCTGTGGGACTCCTCAATCTGCTGAGATGTAGTCTACATCAAAAGCAAAGCTGCAAATGTCTGATAAACTACTCGCTTGTCAGTAAACATGCGCAAATTAAACAGAACACTTCACACCAATTGCCCGTATAAATGGCAATGTGGCACACTGGATGGTCTCAAACAAAAATAAACTATTCTACCGACAGGTTTTGGAGTAGATTTGTAGCTCAGGTTGTGGGTGTTGAGGTTGGTTGGCTCGCCGAGCTGGTCTGTTGTTCCGCTGACATCTCGTTACCACACTGCAGCAACACAGAACTATGCCAAAAGGAAGAAGAATACCTCTTCCAGGTTTTCAAGGATAATGGATATCCAAAAAACTGGGTCAGAAGATGCCTACACAAACAACATCAGGAAGATACTACACGCCCCGACACACTCATCACACTACCCTACATCAGGAACTAACCACAACACTCCTATGACCGCTGGGCAGAGTGGCACACAAGCCCACATCAACCTACGACAACTGCTCACCCGAACTAAAGACCGACTCCCAGCTATGGATAGGACCAACGTCATCTATAAGATCCCCTGCAGAGACTGTGAGAAACACTACATCGGACAAACAGGAAGGAAACTAACAACAAGGGTACACGAACACCAACTAGCTACAAAAAGACACGACCAATACTCACTCATCTCAATCCGCATGGATAAGGAGAACCACCAATTCGACTGGGACAACATCAAAATCCTGGGACAAGCTAAGCAGAGACAGGCACGGGAATTCCTAGAAGCCTGGCACTCCACGAAGAAAGCCATTAATAAACACATAGAACTCGACCCCATATACACTCCACTACGAAGGAAAACCGGAAGTGAGGCAATCCAGCTCAACAGACTCGTGTAAAAACCAGGCAGGAAAACACACTGACACTTCATCGGAGGCTGCACTGAGGATATTACCCAGCACGGTAACGAAACGTCTACAGAACAACAAACCAGTTCAGCGAGCCAACTAACCTCAATATTCTACTTACAACATATCTTTGATTCTGTAACCCACATGATTAACTTATATCAGCAACTCCATTTACAAACCTCTCCAGACTCTGAGACCGCTAAGAAACCCCATGTTGACAAAAGCTTCTTTCATCTGGAAACTGCATTCATAATTTAAAATATTTTATTGAAGGGAGACCCAAGAACTCTACCAAAAGCCTGACAATAGGTCATCCATTGTTTTCAAGTGTTCCACTGTGAACTTCAAGCTTACTGAGTAAACACAGGCTACATTTTAAGTGCAACAAACCCAGGCTTGTTTGAGTGGCATTGAGTGTGTTGCGGTTGTCTGTTTCTCAACCAGAGACCCACAGTTACCTAGAGGTAAAATTTCATTCCCTAAAATTTAAAGTTACATTCCAGATCACACAAATGAACAAAATTTTGACAGATTTTGGTTTCACTAATCAGCAACATTTGAGTGAAATCTGACATAGCCCCACTTTTCTTAAAACGCAAACAGATAATTTAAATGCAAAATTGTAAAGCATAGTTTGTTGATAATATATTTTATTTTGCCAAATAGCTCATTTTAAATCGTTGAATTTTAAAGTTTAAGTTTCTCTTCTGTAACTGATGGACTGGTTCCCAAAGTGGCTCCATTGCAGGGTGGTAGATATTCAGATTGCATGAAACTGCCTATGCTTGGTTAGCACCCTACAGGTATAGAATTTGCATTTTCAGACTGCAACATAGTTTAGCATTGATCAGGTTCATAGTAGTCTTAGACAGGAATTAAACTGCATTTATCTGCAACAGAGTTGCTCCGAAATGCTCCGTGAAAATGGATATTGAGGGTATTATTTCTGATTAATCAAAAACAGATTTTTATTTATAAATCAAAAAATCCAAGATAAAATCAGATTCCATTCAACAGAAAGGAAATGTGTTTGAGAAAAAACAACATTTATAGGAATTTCCATTTCTACTTACTGATTAAACAGCATGGACAACATCATTTCATTGGTTTCTTCAGGCAAATTAGTGAGGAATAGAATATAGTTGGGTGGATTGTCTGGTACCTTTGGAAGAGAAAGACAAAATGAATGCTTTGGGCTACTATTTCCATTGGGAATGAAAACCTGTAAATCATACATTAAAGATGTGATAAATCAGGATATTTAAAACTGCCAGTAAAAGCAGGTGAATTCCTTTCATGACACAAATGAATAACATGTACATTGTGGACACGTTATATTACCCAAATCCAACCTATCCAGAAGGTTACTGTGAAATTTAAGTTACTTGATGTAATCAGGAAGATTATTTAAGATGCCAGTAGTGTCACACATCATATGGTCAACAATGTATAAACAAACACTGGAGACAATGTGTTACTTCCCATGTTGCAGCTAAATGGGCTACAAATGGTCAAAGGATTGTTTATCTATTCCTAGTGTTCAGCAATGATGCCCAAAAAGATCAGGACCCAAGTTCTTCCCGCTCAATACCTCCCAGAACTGGAATAATTACGCTGAACAAAGCCTGATACAGAGGGAGCAGGATCTCCAAATATCAGGGATTGAAAACAAAATAACAGACTGGACCTCTCAGGAATCCCAGGCACCAGAGATTGAATATGAGCAGCTGACTGGAGAATGTGGGAACCTTGATCACGAGGATTGAAAAGTGAGGTCACAGGACTACAGGTAGGTGATTGGTTGGTGAGTATTCCAGATTTACACTTTTCCTCCACAACGAAGAAGTTGTCACTTTACTAAATCACTACTCAAAATTATATACATTAAACAAAAACAGAATATTGTCAATGCAAAAAAAACTGTCAAAGGTTTACATCTTGTAATCTCCAGAACAGATAAGTATGCTAAATTTCAAAGGAAGCAAAGATTACTGCAGGAGAAAAGAATGCCAAGTCATTAGTAAGGCGACCAATTAGTCAATGTACTACCATGGAGCAAAATCAGAAAACGCTGCAAAAACTCGTATCAGGCAGCACCTTGGAGAGAAAACAGAGTTACCGTTTCAGGTCCAGTGACCATTCTTCAAAACTGATAGAAGCTAGGAAAAATTTGGCAAGTATGCTAGAGACAAGGTGGGGCAAGAGGAAGGAATAAATGATGAACACCTTCTTCCAAGTCCTGAACCCAACCCCCACACAAGAGGCCTTGTCATCACATGGGCTGCTACCACAAACAACCCATTGTCAGCCACTATTGATCCCCAGTAGCAGCTATTCATTTTCCCAGATTGACCTGTACCCACTCACTTTCTGCCCAACTGTTTCTCCCCTTCTCTGGGGCTCCATCTCTACTTATTGTTAACTCTTTTCCCCCTTTAAGTGGAGTGAGAGCTCCACTTAAAAACAGCTGGAATCAGGATCCTGCTAAATCACATATCTAGTACCATGGATTGAGCTTTAAACTAAAGGTTTTAGTGGGGAATGAGGTCACATGAAAGGAAATTTAAAATTCTAAAGCGAAAGCACAATTCTCTTTAGAACTTTACATTTCCTTTCACGTAACCTCATTTCAGCAGAGACAGTGCAGAATAGGTCATGATTTTACAAAATTCCCAATATTCTAGAAAAATCTGAGCAGACTGAAAGTTAGCTAATGTAATACAAAGGAGAAAAGAGGAAAAACAAGGTATGACAGGCCTAATCAGCATTTCTTTTTACTGGTTTATAAGATGTGAGCTTCGATGAAATCTACTGCCCATCTCTAACTGCCCTATAGAAAGGACAGCCTCCTTCTTGAACCGTGCAATCCGCAGCGGGCGAGTACATCCACAGTGTTCATGGAAGGGTGCTCTAGGATTTTGACCCAGGGACAGTGAAGGAATCATGATGTAGCTCCAAGCCTAGACAATGTGTAACAGAGACAACAAGGTGCAGGGCTGGATGAACGCAGCAGGCCAAGCAGCATCATAGGAGCAGAGAGGCTGACGTTTCAGGCCTAGACCCTTCATCAGAAAAATGTTCATAAAACTCTACATATATTAATACAAAGTTTGTATGCAGGTACAGATAGGAATGAGGAAGCCAAATGGCAGATGGCCTTTATTGGAAGGGGATTGGAATGCTAAGGAATGATAGGGAAATCTTACTAAAATTGGACTTTAGTAAGATCACATCTAGCATACCATTCACAGTGTGTCTCCGTAACTCAGGAAAGATTGTACTGCCACCCAGGCAGGTATAAGATTCAATAGATTGGTTCTTGTGATGAGAGGGTATCCTGTGATGAGGGGTGAAATAAACTGAACCTATACTCTCTGGAATTTAAAATAAATTGATGTCATCTACTGAAAAATGATCATGAACAAGCTTGACAGGGTAGACAGAGAGATAGTTTCTCCCAGTGTTAGATCTAGAATGCAGGGCAAAGTCTCAGGATAACAGGAATGAATCATATCGGAGTGGGAAGGTGAAACAATTCTTCACTCAGAATCTTTGAAATTTTCTAGCATTGTGGACATTCAATTGTTGAATATGTTCAAAAACAGGAGACAGACTAATTTTTTTTTTCAGGGAAATTGGACGGGAAGATAAACAGGAAAAGAAGTGAGATTGAGCAGAAGATCAGCCACAATTATATTGACCATATGATCTACTCTAGTTTCCATTTCAAGTTCTTTAAGCTTACCTGATTGGTTGAGGTCTGGTTAGAATTCGAAGTTGCCACCTGTGCTGTTCCCTAAAATTAATGGGACATTTTAAGTTCAGGAACATACAAAAGAATCTCAGACCACTCAAATTCTCATTTTGGTGCAAGGATCTTAACAAAGCAGTATGACAAAAAGAAAAAGACAATGCTGGAGAAATTCAGCAGGTCTGGAGAAAGAAACAGGGTTAACATTTCAAATCTGGTATGGCTTGTTCTAAACAGGACTCGTACCAGACTGGAAATATTAATTCAATTTCTCTCTCCACAAATGCTGCCACACCTGCTGTGTATCTCCGAGCATTGTGTGCTCGTTTCAGATTTCCAGCATCCACAGTACAGCAAACTTTGTTTTAACCGGCATCTTATGAACCGGCAAAAACTATACACCTGAAATACCAAAAGTTTCCTGTATTATCGCAATTTCTGCAATGTCTGGGTACACGTGAGAAGGATCTCTGCCAGGAAGTTTTATTTAAAGCAAAGTTGCATTATTATGCAAGTGACTTATGTTGTAAATAAAGTACAATAGTGATGTGTATACACACTGCATTGCATTTCTATTACTTAATGTGGCTATGTGGACCTCTTGATTATCTGGAATATTTGATCAACCGGCATACTCCAGGTCCCGTAGGTGCCAGTTAATAAAATGTTTGCTGCATTTTGCTGTTATTTAATTATGACTAAACAACTAAACAAGTAAACAAGTCATTCGGCATAAAACAATATTCCCCAGACAATGTATCAGTACTGCACACTGCAGTTAAAACAAGTTTACAAATGTTTCTTTTCAAAAACAAAACGCACACTGTAATTTGAAATATATTAACAAGACATTAAGTATTTGTCACAAAAAGTATTGTCCACAGTGTGACTTAACTAAAATAGCAAGAAAGTAACAAGTTCCTTGAACGTAGAGATGAATACTTGGACCATCAAGGTCCACTGAAATAATTATAAATTTAAAATTAAAATGAGCCTTACTGAAAAGGTATGATGTATTGTAGTTTACAACAGTGAGAAAGCACTTTTAAATGTGTGACTAATACATAAACCTTTCAAAAGATTTTAAAAAGTAAAGGTGTAGGCAAAAACATTTACCGCAGGGCACGTCTAAATCAGTTCGGCGCAAATGAATAAACATTCAAATTGGTGGCTGGCTATTTCGAAAATGTTAAATTCCCCACCTTGCAAAGCAAGCTGCTCGCTGCTCAGCCATTTTTTTTTTATACAATTTAAGAAACTGACTGCAGGAGAAATAACAGTTCTTTCAATTCAGAGTTTAATCAGGAAACATCAGTAGTAGCCCAACCTGCACAATTCCACCTTTCTGCCTAATGTTTGAGCTAAATGCATGAAAAAAGATGGTTTTTATTTAATTAGTTCACATTTTGGATTTATTCAAGGTTAAATGTTAATCAGGAAAATAGGCACAGGGGTAGGCCACTCAGCCCTTTGAGCTTGCTCTGCTACCTAACTCCATAAATCTGCCTTTGGCCTATATCACTTAAAACCTTTGCTTAGCAAAACAAAAAACTACTTCAGACTTAAAATTAACAACTGATCTAGCATCCACTGCTATGTCTGGAAGACAGTTCCAAACATACACCATTCTTTGCATGTGGAACTGCTTCCTAATCTCTGTCCCAAATAGTTTGGCCCTAATTTTTAGACCATGACCCACAGTTCATTTTTATCTACCCTGTCTTTTCCTGGAACAGAAGATAATATCTTGAAGATTCCTTGAGCTGCTGGAAGATGTTTTAATTCACAATTACGAAGTCCTTTAAGGAATGGGCTTGACAGGGCAAACAGAGGCTACAGTATTACTGATATCTCACCAAAGGCAAGATGTTTTAGCATCATCACCTTCTGCAGTTAGGATTTATTTTAAGCAGAAATGGGTTATTACTAGACACTCTTAAAAACAAGCTACAGAGGTAATTTTGGGCAGTTCTGAAGAAAACTATCAAATTCTTATCCCTCATCTTAAGAGGAGGAGAAGTCACAAACCAATAGAAAGTTTGAATAAAAAGTCTACCTTACCTGATTAGCTTTTTTGTTTGCAGCAGCTTGTTCTTGGGTTTTGGCCTTTTTCTTTTCTTTTTTCTTCTCTTTATCAGCAAAGGTGCCCCTCATTTTTGAAATTATATCCGAGTCAGTCTTTGCATACTGAATTCGCTGAGGAAAAAAAAATTAAGAAATTACTATTACATTTTTAATGGGATATACCATCCTCCTTTGCTTGTGATCTAAACAATCCCATACACTGATCATAGTGAAGGCTTCAGTGGCATAAAGTTTAAAGAAAGGTAGATAATATGAAAAAAATGCAATTCCAAGCCATCACAAGTTGCATTTGTTATGCAGACCCTAATGATAAGCAATTATTATATATCAGTAAATAACATTGCTAAAATATACATACATTCTCCGATCCCCACCCAACTGAAACTCAATGGTCTGTATAAATCTGGGGATCCAGAATTTTGCACACATAGGGAGCTCCATCAGACTTAGAACGAAAGTGGACTAAATCTTTTTTAAAAAGCATAAAAACCTTTTACTGCGTGAAAATAGAGTCATTCAGCATGGAGACAGACCATTCAGTCCAACTCACCCATGCCAACCACGTTCCTAAACTAATTAGTCCCATTGCCTAATTTGGCCCATATCCATCCAAATCTTTCTTATTCATGTACCTGTCCCTGCATGCACCATTTCCTCTGATAGTCCATTCCACACACGAGCCACTGTGTAAAAAGGTTGCCCCTCGTGTCCTTTCTAAAAATCTTTTCCCTCTCACCTTAAAAATATGCCCCCTAGTTTTGAACTCCCTATCCTAGGGAAAAGGCTCTTGCTAGTCACCTTATCTATGCTCCTCATTATTTTATAAACTTCTATAAAGATCACCCCTCAACCTACTACGCTCCAGTGATAAAATACCAGCCTACCCAGCCTTCCTTTGTAAGTCAAGCCCTCCATTCCTGGCCACATCCTGGTAAATATGAACCTTCTCCAATTTAATAATATCTTTCCTCTAGTAGGGTGGACAGAACTGTACACAGTACTGCAGAAGAGACCTCGCCAACATGACATCCCAATTCCTATACTCAAAGGTCTGAGCAATAAAGGCAGGCGTACTTAATGCCTTCTTAACCACCCAAAATAAATTCCTTCTGAAAAGGAAAATCTGTAGAAAATTTGATCAGAAATCTAAACAACTCACAGTTGAATGGTTAGATTTGCTAATACCCTTTTCATGATCATATTGAAAATTGCACGCATTTCATCACAGTACTGAAATTTGTAAATGGCAAGGAAAAAAGTTATCTTGGGCTTAATTTCAAAAAAGTTATTTTTTTCAGTACCAATTTTTAAACTGTCATGGTATTATTAAAATGAGGAAATGAATTACTCTTCCAGAGGGGGAAAAAAAATCCAACACAACACAAGTTATACAAACAGCAATGCTAAGAGCTGATCCAGAGTATAAGCAAAGTTTCAGATTCATCCACTGCTCCACAGTGATCTTAGCCAATCTAATAGTACAGGAACTACAAATAGTTTCAGCAAACCTCACAAACTTAAAATAGTCAGGCTTCCAGCTTTATCTCAACAATAGTAGCTGGCATTTATGAAACATTTATTCTGTTTATATATGACATATATTGCAGCACATTACAAGAAGTTAAGGAAGATGGTGAGAGCTAACACATCTCTAGCAAAGTTTTCGAAAAATTTAAATTTAAAAATACAGAGAAAAGTCCACAAAAACACTTGGTAGTATATAATTTCTTTAAACGTCAAAGATTCAACAGAATTGAAATATGCCAAACAGAACGAAACCTACTCGGGTAAGTATGCTTTATTGTGTGTGTGCGCGCGTGTGTGTTGGGGG